CTAAGGCCGGTACTCATGCGGATTATTAAATTAAAAAAAAAATTGGAGCTGAAAGAACTCAAAATTATAAGTTCAATCGATTTTCAAAACTTCAAAATTTTTGAAACTATACTGGCAGATTTCAAAATTTTGAAAGATCTTGCTCCGGCATGGCACATCTGCGGGTAAATCAGATCCGCGCCGTGTGAAGCGGCCCTTAGTTTCTCGAGCGTGCCGACAGATGGCGCGCCGATCGATCTCGCCGCTACGCGCTACGTTGTTGTTTGTTGTTGTCTTCGGCGTCGATCGACGACGTGTGACAACGTGCGAAATCGCCGGCGGTCTTGACGCGATAATTTCGCGGAGATATTTGCGGATATTCACCGAAAACCGGAGTAGATCGATTTGGCGCGCGATCATGTCGAAGATAGCGGCCTACGACACGCACGACGACGGCCCGGGATTCGTGGGCATCAGATTTTGCCAGGAGTGCAATAACATGTTGTACCCGAAGGAGGATAAGGAGAACAAGGTGCTCATGTACGCGGTGAGTATACGTCGCAACCGACGACGGATTTTCCTATTTGGTGTCTAGCAGTCGAAACCTGGAAGATTTCCATGACCGCTATACACTTCTTTAAATAAAAAAAAAGGACAGAAAATATCATTTTTTAAGAATTTAACGAAATTCCAGAAAAGTCACAAAATTCCATGACATTTTCTATCCTTTTTTATCTAAAGAAGTGTATAGCGGTCATGGAAATCTTCCAGGTTTCCATGACCGCTAGATACAGTATTGTAAAAAGGAGGGAAAGAAAAAGAAAGAAACGAGGGAACTTTGAATTGCACGACGTAAATTTAAATTATTTTACATATAATTACGTAATAATTATTGCGAATCGTACGAGAAGGAATTGTAATGGGGATGCTTGTGTTTTCACAGTGCAGAAATTGCGACTTCAAGCAACTGGCGGACAGCAACTGCATCTACGTGAACAAGATCATGCACGAAATCGAGTGAGTTGAAAATAAGTCGCTCAGAGAATTAATTAGTATCTATTATTATTATAAACATGGTTAAACGTCAAAACGCTTCGCATTGAAATGCGTATCGTGTGCAGAGGGGAAAGAGACGTGTATCATTTTGTGCACGAGTATCTTTGTTATACAAAATGATACAGCTTTCTCGTCGCGAAACTCAAGTATGCAAGGGGCCTGGCGTTAAGTACGCGCTAATCGCTTATTTTTCTTTCAGCGAGCTAACGCACATCGTCGCCGATGTGATATCGGATCCTACGCTGCCGAGGACCGAGGAACACCCATGCCCGAAGTGCAATCACAGAGAAGCTGTATTTTTCCAGGCGCAAACTAGACGGGCTGAGGAAGAAATGAGATTGTATTACGTGTGTACGAATCAGCACTGCACCCACAGGTGGACGGAGTGAACGAACGTCCGGTGCACCTATGTCCCGCTCGCTATTTGTAACTTAATTCTAATCTTGTAAACTGTGTACAGAGTTGCGTGTGTGTAAGTATGTGCTTGGAAGGGGATGCAT